TTTATTTTTAAAATAGAGACAGAGCGACATCATTCCTTGAAGTTTTCGTAGAATTTTCTTGGCACAGAGAAAAAAAATCACGCCAGTTTTTTAGAATTGTCGTTGAGTAGTTTTCCGTTTAAAGAATGAAGAATGACAGAAAGTCTGCAACGTCTCTTACCGAGTTACGTAGTTGCGGACCTATACCGTCGACGTGTCATAGATGTTGTCGACCTTTTTTACCGATTGAAACGCCAATTAATTTGTCATGAAGGCAGTGCTCCCATTTCCCGGAACAAGTACCAAATTTCAAGACTTTTAAAATTTTCCTGAATTTTTCCCAAAACTTCTGAAATTCTCAAAATGTTCCGGATCTTTTGCATTATTCTCCGGAACTTTCAAGAAATTTTTTAAAAAATCTAAAAAGAATCCCGGAACTTTTGACGGCCATTGAGCGGTAGAAATTGGAACAAAAAGTTCCGAATCCCGGAACTTTTGACGGACATGGTATGGGAGCACTGCATGAGGGAGCAAAACTCGAATTCTCATGATTTCATATTATATTACGTAAAATTGTCACAAGAGTCACGACCATATGACGTAATTTTCACACCGATAAAAATCGTCAATTGATGTATACCTTTTTTAATTTAAACAAAAAAAATAAACAAAAAAAAATAATGTAAAATGACGGCAAAAGACCATTGTGGAAGTTTATCAAGTGTTTTAAATGTATAACAAGGAGTTGAAGTCAAATAAAAGGCGGCCGCACCGGCGCGGCATCTTAGGTTTACAATAAATTAAATTCTCATCACAGAAAGCCTAAAGGACCGGGCGGATGAGAACTTTGGCGACTCTCCAGCTAATGGCCATTAAACAAAGATTGGTAGTATATTTGCGGGTCTATTCGACATGAGACATGTGCGAAGCGGAATAATTTCATTAAGTGCTCACTTAATAATGTCCACGTTACAAACCTTATAGCTGCGCCTGCTCTATAAACTCCTCCAACCTATGTCCAGCGTCCAGCGGGGAGCGTCCGATTTCCTGTGTCCCATCCCATACTTCGTGTCACGGCTGCGCGCGCCTCAAGCCGTTCTAAGCCCTTTGAAAATCGTCACATACTCGCAGGTGCAACCTCTGAAATCTCTCTATCCTCCACTTCCCTTCACCGTTCCATTTTACTCTGTGTATTAGATCTTCTAGACACAGTCGAAACAGAGACAAGAGATTCTCCACTGCGGGCCGATTATTGAAATTAATAGACAAAGCTATAGACAAGGAACACAAAAAGGATATCCTATCCAAGCCGCTCTAAGCCCTTTGAAAATCGTCACATACTCGCAGGTGCAACCTCTGAAATCTCTCTATCCTCCACTTCCCTTCACCGTTCCATTTTACTCTGTGTATTAGATCTTCTAGACACAGTCGAAACAGAGACAAGAGATTCTCCACTGCGGGCCGATTATTGAAATTAATAGACAAAGCTATAGACAAGGAACACAAAAAGGATATCCTATCCAAGCCGTTCTAAGCCCTTTGAAAATCGTCACATACTCGCAGGTGCAACCTCTGAAATCTCTCTATCCTCCACTTCCCTTCACCGTTACACCGTTCCATTTTACTCTGTGTATTAGATCTCCTAGACACAATCAGAACAGAGAAAAGAGACCCTCCACTGCGGGACGATTATTGAAATTAATAGACAAAGCTATAGACAAAGAAGACAAAAAGGATATGGTATCATCCTATTGGTGGAAGCGGGTGGTTACAATAAACAAAGGAGGTAAGTAATAGACTAGCTAACGGCAACCGACGAGAGACCTGACAGTAAGTCCATCATTTCTCCTCTTAGTCTTTGAGCACCACCAGTTGCAACCAATAGGATCGCTCCATGTTCCTTATGTCTTCTTTGTCTATAACTTTGTCTATCAATTTCCATAATCACTTCGCTGGTCTCTTGGCGACAAGTGGGAGCTTTTACTTTTGGGGATTCAACACTTCTTATGAGTAATTATAACGAAGCAACAGTCATCACTCTTTTTTCGGCTGTTGACCTATCTACTTAGTGCATGATGAGGTTCGGGTGACGTCATACAACACATTGCCCATTTGTTAAAAACCGGCACTAGTTGACTAAAAAATGAAATGGAGTAAATAACTTCATCGTATAAAATGTGAGTGAAAGAATAATTGGCTTTAAAAATTCATCGCCTTATGAGTGATGAAGGGAGGAGGGAAAATACACTGTTAAAAAGGTCGGTGATCGAACTACTTACCTACAGTGGTGAGGCTGCCTAACTAAGGAAAACACTTGGAAAACCCCTCGCACCCGGAAAAGCGGAGATGAACTAATGGCGATTTAAGCAGGTTGGCAACACTGCTAATACTCTATTTAAAGCCATTGAATATATCGATTCTATCCGAGACAGGCTGTCTCACATAGAATCGATTGTTTATAATACATTTAAAGGGAGTATAAACAGTGTTGCAAACTTTCAAGAATCGCCACTGAGACAGACAGACGACGTGCATGTAGTTTCCGCCAAGAGCAGGTCAAATCAGCCCCAAGCGTTTCGTGCGGAAACCGCATATCGACGGTGAAACTACCAAACCGCGTATCTTGTTTGCGGTGTTTAAAAATCTACGCTCACATTTTATTTTTTTGAAGTAGACCAAATCAATATCATTCCTTGAAATTTTCACGGAATTTTCTCCGCACAAAGAGGAAAAATCCCAGAAATTTTCAAGACTGGATGTTAAGTAGTTTTTCATTTGAAAAATAAAGTATGACAGGAAGTCTGCGACGTCGCAAACCGAGATACGTGGTTTGGTAGTTTCACCGTCGATATATCGCATGAGCCTTCAGCGTTTTACAAAATCAACAAAGAGTTGAGGTTTTGATAGTTATTCCGTTTGACGTGCGTATTAATCGCAATATCGCAAAATTGCAATCGTCAACTCTCCGACAACTTTCTAATTTGACCTACAAAGTCAAAAACGAACTGCAGGAATACTTCACGCATTGCGCCAACACAGTGCGGTCGCTTGTCGGCGCGAGATGCATATCAGAGCCTACAAGACTGTAGGATACTTCTCGCATTGCGCCAATTACACTGCGGCCGCTAGTCGGTGCGAGAAGCTTAGCGCCTACAAGACTGCATGAATACTGCACGCATTGCGCCAAACACAGTGCGGTCGCTCGTCGGCATGAAACGCATATCGATGGTGAAACTAGCATACCACGTATCTCGGTTTGCGACGTTGCAAACTTCCTACAATACTTAATTTTTTAATGGAGTGCTACTAAATGTACATTCATGAAAATGTCCGTGATTTTTCTTCTCTGTGCGAGGCAAATTCTGAGAAAATTTCAATCAGTGATGTTGATTTTTTCTCCTTTAAAAAAATAAAACAGGAGCAGATATTTTTTAACACCGCAAATGAGATACATGGTTTGCGAGTTTTACCTTGTCTTAAAATATATTCTGTGAAATATTTACGACTTAAATCCGATTCGTAAGCGTCGAAAAGTATGAGTCTGAACTTTCTTTCTGCTCCTTAGAACCTTAGTTCCATGTAATTTTGAAATTTTAAACACATATTTCTTGAAATAGCTAAATTTGCACTTATGCGCCATGTCGTCCAAGGCCCTTAATTAGATTAGATTAAAATAGCCCGGGGGACAAAGCCCAAAACACGGAAACTCTGACGAGTTTAAGGCCTTCATCAAACCAGAGATGAAGCAGCCCCTATAGTGCCGTGCTAAGTAAGAACGCTGTATGAGCCTTCAGACGTTGCCATATTTTCTTCAATAAAAACATCATTTACTGGGAAAAGTGTGAATATTTTTCCTCAATATTTTCAGAAAATTTTATATGCAATTTTATCTTTAACTTTTAAAAATTTCAAAGAAAAGTATGCATAATTTTCTTCAAAAATACATGTTTTATCTGGGGCCAGTGTTCGAAACTCATGGGCGCCAACGCGCCAAATGCGCCTAAGAAATCGGTCATGACGCCAAAAATAAGAAGGCTTTGCGCCAACGTGGCCCCTAAAAATTGACCCCTCCCCCGCCAAAAAAAAAAAATATCCTAATTTTTCTGTTTGGTGGTTTTTCGAAATTTCCCCCAAGTTACAGTTATACTAGTCCTGGTACTAAAACATCTAGCGTCTAACTTTTCACTGAATGCGCCGTGATATTTCGGCAAAAAGTCAATCTGGCCCCTTCAAAATCTCCAATGTCCCCCAAAAATCAAGTTGATGCGCCGCATGACTTCAAAAACTCAAAGGTGAGGTTCGAACACTGTCCGGGGCGATTTAGCAACTCTCAAATGTTCATACGGCGTTCTTACTCAGTACGGAAATGTATAGAATGCACTGAAAAAAAAAAATCTCGGTGTATTTACAAAGAAAAGGGTAAAATTACCAAGAATTCAGGGTTCTATTTGATCCCAGTTTTTTCTTGGTAAAATTACCATTTATGGAATTGGTAATTTTACCGAGAAATCTCGGTAAAATTATCGAACTTTCTCGGTAATTTCACTGGACCTTGGTAAAAACGCCAATATTTTGTATCGACTGTGGTAGAATTACCGAGATAAAATGGCAAAGTTACCGGGAATTGATTACCAATAAAAGTGGTATTCTTACCTGAAAAAAACAGTAAAAATACCGGTTTTTAGGTGCGCTTACCAGTCTGTCTTTATAAAATTACCAAGAATTGGTAAAAAAAAGTGAGATGGTAGAGGTACCAACGGACCTTGGTAAAAACGCCGACAATTTTTTTGCAGTGTGGGACGTATGTACAGAGTTATCAAGACATGGCAACCAAAAACCACATGACGCTTATTACCTGCATCAGCTGATGAGAGCTGAATGGAGTTTAGTGTGAGTTCCCTCATTCATTGATGTCATGTGTTGGCGAAGAGCACAACGGAAAACCACCTGTGTGTATTCAGGGTCGAGCGGGAAAGCGCAAGCGCATTTATGATAAATCGATACCAGACGTGACCAGAGAACTCCGGGTCACACTCTCTCATCTCGCTTCTACTCTCAGTTCCTATCACCTATTCCTTTTTTCTCCGCACCAAAGGCGATGGCCTTGTATTTCGTTTGTATTTCATCTGATTGTGGGTTCGATTTTGGTCCAAATTAGGAGGTGATGTGGCGTCGTCATGTATCTGGTCACAACTTAGCATTTCGCAACACTACCGAAGTCATTATTTTCCGGTAAACCTCCGCTAAAAAGCACCTACATTCAAACGTATCTTTTTAACCCAGAAAAAGCGTTCAGAGTGAATTTTCAAAGTTACAGGTAATTGATAAGCGCGGAATTCTGACGTCTTTATGTTTAAGCTGCTTATTTCAATGCTTAATTTTTAATGCATATCACCTCTCCCTGCACTGTTAGCAATCTAACCGTTGTAATTTTGGATTTTACCTTTGTTCTTCCCCCGATCACTTGGTTAATGTTCACTTGGTTAGTCTTAATAGTGTTTACCATGTCACCTGAGGATGATCTGATGATCGAAATAGCTATTGCCAACTGAAATCCACAACCAAGTGATCGGGGGAAAAACAAAGGTAAAATCAAAAATCAAAAATGCATCCCGATAAAATAAGCTTAAACTTCTTTGTAATTTTGTCTAACATGATAAAATATTATTTTAGTTAATGATTCAATGAGCTCGAGTTATTTGGTTGAATATTTAAACTTTTACATCCATGATTTTTCTCATTCTTTAGCACAAACCTGTGATTACTGCTACGTATGCACATTTTTATTAAAGTATTTTGAAACTGTATTGATGACGTTAAAATGAGTCTTTCTTTTTTCGGTGGAAATTAGTTTATTATGCTTAGTTGCCTAGTCACCTTTAGTTTACACCATTAAATTTTCGGACCATGGACGATTAAAGTATTTCAAATAGAGTAAATATTTCAATTTTAACGAAACGTTACGAAATAAGCATTAAAGTTTAGCGATCCGAATTCAGCACCTTCCCAAGGTGTGGAATTAAAATGGGAATTCAGCTACTTTTGACATCAAATCTTAGATGGAAATGTGAATGAAATTTAATGTATCAATAAAAGCAAGCTAGTATTGTCAAATCGTGCTTCAAAATGTGTTATTGAATTATTATGATACAAAAACTGTGCACGGAAATATGAACTGAATTGCGGTGTATCCAGAATGTGACACACAAATTGTTCATTCATACATTATTGTGCAGTTAGTACAGACTGTGAAATCACAAGTAGTTTCAAACGTAAAATGCCTTTAGAAAATCACGTGCAATACATTATTATGAATAAAAATCGATAGATTTTTAGTATTGATATGACCCTTGGTCCTCAGAGTTCGAATGATTTTTTGAAGAGGAAAAAATACGTTTTACAAGGAAACTTGCATTAGGGTGGACATTAATCGTGCAATTGAGATTTAGGAGAGTGAGAAAGAACGTGAGATTTTTTCAATGTAAAATAGTTAGGATAAATAAAATAAACTTTTTGGTTACGTCATCATTTTTAATTTTGGTCGTAATGGTGAGGACGTGAAGGAAGGCAAATATTCCCAGTTTTCCTTTTCATTTTCCTATAGCTTCCATCAAAAACATGTACTTTCTTCAGAGTTACACATTTTTTAAACTAAATGGACTTCATTTTGCCATTCGGAACTGCAATTTCTAACTTACCTGTAAAAGCGCTTCTCTACCTATGGAAACTAATGGCACATACGTTGTTTCTGAAGTGAGCTGAATGTTGCAGTTCCTAAGTGCCACATGTGGTCCATGTGACCGATTAATGAGTTCACATCAACAGTATGTTATCTCTGCAAAGTGTTCTCCTGTTCCCTTCTCATTAGGATATTGCAGGGTAATTTACATGATTTTATTGACCTCTTTATTTTCATATCCATTCAAGACACTTTTGCGGTGATGAATGGTATCTTTAAAAATGCAAAGTATAATACATGAAGAGGTCAAAGGCAAATGGGCATTCGGACATCGCATTGTTCCACTTACCGATTCATTTTTACTGCAGATCAATCCCAAATTTACTCTGAAATCACTTGAAAATGCCTCTATAATTTTAGGAACATTTCCAGAAATTTTGAAATGGACTCGCCGAGAGGTAAAGTACCTAGGTCGGGGAAACATTGCATATTACATACAAACAAAACAACCATAACAGCATAATGATGCAACTTTTCTAGTTGTGTCCTTTTGACATAATATGCAGGCAATTACTTTCGAAAGCGTTTTTCTTTTCTAAGCAGAATGCAGCAAATAAATAATGTAAATGCTTTATGAAAAGTTGACAAAATCTCACGGTTCTCCTCGAAAGTTGGAAATAATCTAAAATCGATGAATAAGAGGTTAGAAGTGTTCATGCAGTTTCTTCGAGGCAGTGAAAAAAAAGTGAAATGATGAAATAAGAAAATGATAAATCTTGTCTGGTTACAGATTCTCCCCAAGAGTGGCAATACGGCTTCAGGGATCCGGAACCAGATTCCTAATTAATTTAACTAGAGTGGAGGCACTCAAGGTGAGCTCAGAACGAATCTTCAAGTCACAACACTAGCCTTGAGATTATGCAACCCGACGGCATTGCTGACGCGTACAAAAAGCTTGCCTCAGCTATTGAAGGAGCAACATAGCGGAGTGGGAATGAAAACTGACTGTAAGTATTCTAAGCATGGCGCTAAATATGCACCTTTAGTCGTTGTATCTGAATTAACTCGACTCATAGTTGCACAAAAATCACAGAAATTGAAGCCTGAATCAACCCGTATCACATCAGAGAATGTTTGAGCGGCTTCAAGACTGTATAATTCGGTTTTCTGGATTTCTGGTAGTCGTTGTCCGGGGAAATCATTTTTACCTTAAGCCTCTACGCCAGTTTAGCGATGCTGAATTTTTGGGAGGGAGCTCCCCCCCCCCCCCTCTAGGAGTCAACATTTCAAATAGGATTGGGCCGACTTTGGATCACTTGGAATTTTTGGTGAAATCTTTCGTGATTTCTGAATTTGATTGTATAATTTCAAAATTTCGAAAGAAACCCCAGCTTTTAAAGTCAAGACCCCCCCCCCTTTTATCTTACGAAGGGGCCTGGGGGCTTTAGGGCTATGCCATCAGGATTTCTTGGGGTCAATTCCATTTTCGTCCCTAAGGTCTCCGACCCCATATGACCCAAAATAACCTGAGAAAAAAACCTGGGCCCGAATTTAGTCTGTGTCTTTTGAACTGGAGTTTTGTGCCTTCACGAATTTGAAAAATGAGCAGTTTGGTCACAATGAATTAACACTTTTTTCTATACAAATTGAATTTTTTTCAAAAACCGATTACATTTGACAACAAATGAACATATTACAATGAATTAAGATGGGGAGAAAAACCTGAAGAATAAATGAAAACTTAGAAATACTCGTACTTCGAATCAATTTGAAAATACAATGATCAAGTTCCATTAACACTTAATATCCGCAGCGAAGGGCAAGTCTCAAGACTTCCTTTCCTGATAATTTAATTCTAAGATATAATGTTTACTAATAGTCCAAGTAATGGTTACTATAGTAATATCGAGTATGTAAGCTATGGGATTCTTATCATCAACAATCACTATGTCCAATCTGTTATCCATGATGGTATTGCCAATTAAAATTGGACTGCATTTTGCAATTTGGAACTATAAATTCTGGCTCATCCGAAAAAACACTTATGTGCATAGGGAAACTAATGGCGCATACGCTGTTTTTAAACTGGGCCAGAATTTATAGTTCCAAATTGCAAAATGCAGTCCAATTATTCCAATACAGTCGGAAACGCTGACTCCTCTCAAGGACTGCAGCAGAGACAGCATTTGTTGTGAATTTTCTACATAGCTCTCGAAACCTCTGATCAGCACAACGTGGACAAGTTAGGTATTTGTTATTTCTATGTATTATTATTATTACTTTTTACGTACATTTGACAGTGTGCAAATATTGTGAGCCTTATTTAGGCATGGACTCATCAAATGATGAATTGAACTATATACCTACACTTCAATTCACAAAGGCTTCTTTCTTTTATCGTTTCAGATCGATGTTGTCTGAGAGGATCTCCGATTTTGTGGACCTAATTGCATTATACCGAGGTGGGAAGTAAGATTGCATTCACTAATGGATTACTATTAGAACTAGAGTNAATAAGCTTAAACTTCTTTGTAATTTTGTCTAACATGATAAAATATTATTTTAGTTAATGATTTAATGAGCTCGAGTTATTTGGTTGAATATTTAAACTTTTACATCCATGATTTTTCTCATTCTTTAACACAAACCTGTGATTACTGCTACGTATGCACATTTTTATTAAAGTATTTTGAAACTGTATTGATGACGTTAAAATGAGTCTTTCTTCTTTCGGTGGAAATTAGTTTATTACGCTTAGTTGCCTAGTCACCTTTAGTTTACACCATTAAATTTTCGGACCATGGACGATTAAAGTATTTCAAATAGAGTAAATATTTCAATTTTAACGAAACGGTACGAAATAAGCATTAAAGTTTAGCGATCCGAATTCAGCACCTTCCCAAGGTGTGGAATTAAAATGGGAATTCAGCTACTTTTGACATCAAATCTTAGATGGAAATGTGAATGAAATTTAATGTATCAATAAAAGCAAGCTAGTATTGTCAAATCGTGCTTCAAAATGTGTTATTGAATTATTATGATACAAAAACTGTGCACGGAAATATGAACTGAATTGCGGTGTATCCAGAATGTGATACACAAATTGTTCATTCATACATTATTGTGCAGTTAGTACAGACTGTGAAATCACAAGTAGTTTCAAACGTAAAATGCCTTTAGAAAATCACGTGCAATACATTATTATGAATAAAAATCGATAGATTTTTAGTATTGATAGGACCCTTGGTCCTTAGAGTTCGAATGATTTTTTGAAGAGGAAAAAATACGTTTTACAAGGAAACTTGCATTAGGGTGGACATTAATCGTGCAATTGAGATTTAGGAGAGTGAGAAAGAACGTGAGATTTTTTTCAATGTAAAATAATTAGGATAAATAAAATAAACTTTTTGGTTACGTCATCATTTTTAATTTTGGTCGTAATGGTGAGGCCGTGAAGGAAGGCAAATATTCCCAGTTTTCCTTTTCATTTTCTTATAGCTTCCATCAAAAACATGTACTTTCTTCAGAGTTACACATTTTTTACACTAAATGGACTTCATTTTGCCATTAGGAACTGCAATTTCTAACTCACTTGTAATAGCGCTTCTCTGCATATGGAAACTAATGGCACATACGTTGTTTCTGAGGTGAGCTGACTGTTGCAGTTCCTAAGTGCAACATGTGGTCCATGTGACCGATTAACGAGTTCACATCAACTGTGCGTAATCTCTGCAAAGTGTTCTCCTGCTCCCTTCTCATTAGGATATTGCAGGGTAAACAGAATTTCTGTCCTTGCTTTCAAATATTTACATGATTTTATTGACCTCTTTATTTTCATATCCATTCAAGACACTTTTGCAGCGATGAATGGTATCTTTGAATATGTAAAGTATGATACATGAAGAGGTCAGAGGTAAATGGGCATTCTGACATCGCATTGTTCCACTTGCCAATTCATTTTTACTGCAGATCAATCCCAAATTTACTCTGAAATCACTTGAAAATTTCTCTATAATTTTAGGAAAATTTCTCGAAATTTTAAAATGAACTCGCCGAGAGGAAAAGTACCTAGGTCGGAGAAACTTCGCATTACATACAAACAAAACAACCACAACAACATAATAATACAACTTTTCTAGTTGCGTCCTTTTGACATATTATGCAGGCAATTAATTTCGAAAGCGTTTTTCTTTTCTAAGCAGAATGCAGAAAATAAATAAGGTAAATGCTTCGTGAAAAGTTGACAACATTTCACGATTCTCCTTGAAAGTTGGAAATAATCTAAAATCGATGAATAAGAAGTCAGAGGTGTTTATTCAGTTTCTTCGAAGCAGTGAAAAAAAGGTGAAATGATGAAATAAGTAAATGATAAATCTTGTCTGGTTACAGGTTCTCTCCAATAGTGGCAATACGGCTTCAGGGATCCGGAACCATATTCTTAATTAATTTAACTAGAGTGGAGGCGCTCAAGGTGAGCTCAGAACGAATCTTCAAGTCACAACACTAGCCTTGAGATTATGCAACCCGGCAGCATTGCCGACGCGTACAAAAAGCTTGCCTCAGCTATTGAAGGAGCAACATAGCGCAGTGGGAATGAAAACTGACTGTAAGTATTCTAAGCATGGCGCTACATATGCACCTTTAGTCGTTGTATCTGAATTAAGTCGACTCATAGTTGCACAAAAATCACAGAAATCGAAGCCTGAATCAACCCGTAGCACATCAGAGAATGTTTGAGCGGCTTCAAGACTGTATAATTCGGTTTTCTGGATTTCTGGTAGTCGATGTCCGGGGAAATCATTTTTACCTTAAGCCTCTACGCCAGTTTAGCGATGCTGAATTTTTGGGAGGGAGCCCCCTCCCCCCCCCTCTAGGAGTCAACATTTCAAATAGGATTGGGCCGACTTTGGATCACTTGGAATTTTTGGTGAAATCTTTCGTGATTTCTGAATTTGATTGTATAATTTCAAAATTTCGAAAGAAACCCCAACTTTTAAAGTCAAGACCCCTCCCCCCTTTTATCTTACGAAGGGGCCTGGGGGCTTTAGGGCTATGCCATTAGGATTTCTTGGGGTCAATTCCATTTTCGTCCCTAAGGTCTCCGACCCCATATGACCCAAAATAACCCGAGAAAAAGACCTGGGCCCGAATTTTGTCTGTGTCTTTTGAACTGGAGTTTTGTGCCTTCACAAATTTGAAAAATGAGCAGTTTAGTCACAATGAATTAACATTTTTTTCTATACAAATTGAAGTTTTTTCAAAAACCGATTACATTTGACAACAAATGAACATATTACAATGAATTAAGATGGGGAGAAAAACCTGAAGAATAAATGAAAACTTAGAAATACTCGTACTTAGAATCAATTTGAGAATACAGCGATCAAGTTCCATTAACACTTAATATCCGCAGCGAAGGGCAAGTCTCAAGACTTCCTTTCCTGATAATTTAATTCTAAGCTATAATGTTTACTAATAGTCCAAGTAATGGTTACTATAGTAATATCGAGTATGTAAGCTATGGGATTCTTCTCATCAACAATCACTATGTCCAATCTGTTATCCATGATGGTATTGCCAATTAAAATTATTATTCCAATACAGTCGGAAACGCTGACTCCTTTCAAGGACTGCAGCAGAGACAGCATTTGTTGTGAATATTCTACATAGCTCTCGAAACCTCTGATCAGCACAACGTGGACAAGTTATTTGTTATTTCTATGTATTATTATTATTATTACTTTTTACGTACATTTGACAGTGTGCAAATATTGTGAGCCTCATTTAGGCATGGACTCATCAAATGATGAATTGAACTATATACCTACACTTCAATTCACAAAGGCTTCTTTCTTTTATCGTTTCAGATCGATGTTGTCTGAGAGGATCTCCGATTTTATGGACCTAATTGCATTATACCGAGGTGGGAAGTAAGATTGCATTCACTAATGGATTACTATTAGAACTAGAGTGCCCAGAAGAACTGCCAAGGCAATATTTTTGCAAGGCCTCGAATTGTGAAAGATGCCGCAAATCAACATAATATCCCACCAATCATTTTTATTCCAAATCATAGTGGTGACATTCATTGCAAACTTCTGCATCATTTACACGGTCTGGAAGTTATCGATAGAGGAAGAAGACGAAGATGAGAAATTTAAATCAGCAATTTTTTTAGATAAAATATGTAAGTTTTGTTTGAGACCGGAAAATCTTACGAAAAGTGTACGAGAGGAACTCAAGATTCTCAGCGCGAATTGCGATTTAAACTTTAAGCCTCTATTGATCTCTAAAATGGAAACAAATGCTGAAGAGCCCCCTTTAGACGAGGAGCTCTTACTTCAATCATCAGATTTAGTTGAAGGTGAAGATCCCGTGAAGCTGTCTATGGACACCATTGAGCAAGACGAAACATCGGAAGACTTGAGAACAACAATTTTTCTGTTCATCTATAGGCTGTTCTCACATTGAAATCACGAATTACTTTTAGAGAAAAATCAGCAAATTTAAAAATACGTGTAGATTAGCCGATCCAGAACTGCTATCCCCCCATTAAAAAATTAGAGCTAACTGATGAGTTTCTAAGTATCCGCTGTGCCAATAGACAAGACATGAATTGTTTTAAAAGTCAAGTCATGCACCTTGTTTCTAAATGTTTCCTACGTTAAGATTATTTCTACTCCTCCTCATCCCTCTCAAACAGAAGCGGTCCCAGCAATTTGGCAACACCGTATTTTCTCCATTTAAACCTATGCTAAATAATCGATTCTTGTAGGGGCACTCGGCCCCTCCAAGAATCGATACATTTCTTCAGGTTTAAATGGAGAAAAGACAGTGTTGCCAATTTGCTGGATCCGTCGATGCTCTCAAAAGAAAAGTGTTCAAAGACCGTTATTTCTGTTTTTCGCGTCCGCTTTTCACCTAAAAAGATTGTCTGAGGTCTTTGATCTACTGGTAAAAATGAGGGAGAATGCATGGACGGACCCAGGAAATGTTTGTCGAAGGCCAGAAGTACACTTCATCCGAGGAGGGTTTGGCGGGCACTAAAAGACACCCCGCCAAAGAGAACATGTGAGACTCCTCCAGTTCTGAAAGAAAGTTTGGAGGATTTTCCTAGCTTTTAGAGGGGTTCGGGAAAAATGTTTGAAAAATGTATTCGTCTTATGGGACCAATTTTGAGCTGTTTGTGCCGGAAAATTGATGAAATTACAATTTTGAAGACAAAAGATGTGCTACTCACTCATTCGGCAAGTCCCCTCACGTTTCTTAGGAAGACACAAACAGATTTTTTTTTCAGGGNCTCACGAGTTCCACCCATATTTGTATTAAGAGTCTTGCCAAGTTCCCGGGCACTTTTTAGGTATTGTAACGGACAGTATTAGTTCCTACAAATTTTAAGCGCCGAAGTTGGGAAAAAAATTATATCAGATTTTTTAAACCTGTTAGAGAAACAGAGTCTTATGCATAAAGCCCTTTTAATATTAAATTTAATTTCCTAATTTTGTCGTTTA